TTAGATGTAAGGTGTTATAAAATGTATAAAATAGTGCACCTTTGTTCTTTGTATAACCCTTTAAAAGGCACTAGATGTTTACCAATTTTTTAAAAATGTTTACCAAAAATTCTAATTTTTCTACACCAAAAGCTGTAATCGTAAAGTTTCTAGTTATTTCCTTTTGATTCTAAATGCAATACTACCCTATGAATGCTCAATATTTTACAGTTATGAAATTAATATACCTCTTTCCAAGGTATCATGTTTGAAGATTTATAAATTCTATTAGAGGGGAAGAAAAAAATTCAAAATCTGCTAATATATAATATACAGATGCTGAATCTTATATATTTATTTCATTTCAGTCAGAAGTGATAATTAACAGAAAATTATTTATACGATTTTAAAACTGGTATATAATATATACCGGCGCCCATTCTGAGGGCACCACGCCAATAGATGGCAGCACTAGTCTTCTCCTTTTCTACTCTATGAGATGACAGCTCTTAATATTATATTAGTTTATGATGTAATAATTTTTTATGATTAATTTACAAGTATTTAGGATTTAATATTATGTTCAAGGGGGGGTATTGGGAGTTTACTGAGCCTGTGCTAGGAGTGAATACAAGTACATTAGTTTCCTGTTATTCTTTGTTTACTCCACTCGAGTTTTCTCACTCCTCTCTGTTGAACTAAAATTTTTATTTCAGCACTTCACCCTTTCCCAGGAGAAAGGCTCCTCGATTTCAAAAGTGTCGTCTGGCGTCAAAATGTTACATAATTGTAGGGGTTAAATGTGGCATGTTAGCCACGAAAGACACCCGTTGCTTCCTGTTTTCCAAAATCCTAGAATGCAGCGAAAATGAAAAGAGGTGATTGACAACTAATTTGTCATTCGGGGATCACGCCTTCTTCCGTTTATGTGATCTTTTCACCCAAAGGGAAAGCTCACTTAAAAATACCGGAAATAGAAATACACTTGAATACATCTCTTAGTGTAACGGAAAAACTGCTGATTTGAACGCATGCTTTTATTCTTTAGGGTATCATCTTTCTTAATTTCAGATGAGAGATTACAGAACAAAATAGCAAGTTTCCCTCTGAGTTAGGATAAAAATAGGTAGTTTTCAGGTTAAATTTTCACATTCACTCATTCCTCCTCCCATTCACTCATTCCTCCGCACATTTTCACATTTCACTCATTCCTCCTCTTAGGTAGCTGACCCAGTACCTTAGGCGGTCAATTCAGTATTTTTGATTTCACCTAAGATTTTTACTAGCGTTCTGTATTAGGTATCCTCGGATACGAAAAATATCCTTTTTTAGGACTCCGGATGTTTTTACCGATGAAGAGGATTCGAACTCGGATGTAAATTCGGAATGCTCCTTTCGAACTTCGAAGTCACAACCAGCGCGATGGAGAAAAGAGGAATTCATTAAGAAAAATGTCAAGAGGAAAGTAAAGCAGTTCTCAGAACTAACTCGTACTGATGCTAAAAAAGCAGCACAATTTATAGGAATGATTCAAGTAGAAGGACCGGAAGCAGCTTATGAGAAATTGATAAATTCTCAAAGAAATGGAACCCCTTTAATATCTGAAAATGAGGAACAAAAACCGAAGAAAAGTAAACTAGAAGAAAAGCAAAAATCTAAGTCTGAGGAGCCATGGATTTCCCCAAAGAAAACCGCGAAGGCTCCGCAAAACCAAGAACCTATTGAAATTCCCCAAGCAACCACTTCGAAAGACTTCATAATGCTAAAACTGATGATGAAACCGAAATCAACCCAGATGACGTACCCTCTCCTATTGCATTCAAACAAGAATATGTAGAATGGCCACAACTCGAAGAACTCAAAAACTCGTGCAAGGAAGAATTTGAAGCTGAAATTAAGACAAATTCAATTTTTTCTGAATGTAAAATCTCACGAAGGCTACAAGTCCGTTCTGCAACTTATGAAGACGAAAAGCATACCCCACCATACTTATCTTACGAGCCATGAAAAACCTTTAAAAGTTATCCTGAAGAATCTCCCTGACAAAATTACAGAGGAAGCAACATTTAAAGACCCAGAGAGATGGAAATACTCCATATTAAAGGTGAAGCAATTTTGCAGATCCCGCAAAAACAACTCCGAAAAACTACCAATTTGGCTGCTCGAGCTGAAGAAAAGTAAAAATGGATATCATATTTATAATTTTAATAATATATTTAGTGTTAACATCGTTACTGAAAAATATAACCTCCGAAAGAGGCCGACCCAGTGATTCAGGTGTCAGGAGTGGGGGCACTCCCAGCACCTGTGCACAAACTAAGAAAGATGTTGTAAATGTGGTCTACCTAATTGAAGCAATATGTGCCAGATGAATAAAGAAGAAAAACCTACGTGCATTTTCGGTAAAGAAAATCACATTGGATGTGCAGTTTACAAAAAAAAAATTTGAACAGAAACCCGCTCTAAAAAAACCAGCAGTATTCCAAAAGAAGCCCGAAGACTTTCCACAGCTCACTAGCATAGAAAGTAATGAAGACAAGAAAGCTCCCAGGACCCAGTACAGTGAAAAAGTTAAATGAAAATTTTCAGAAATACCAAAAAAAGTAAAAGCCACAGAACACTGGTAGTTCCAACTAGGGTTGATTTCAGGGCCACGGGCTGGTTACATGGACGTTTTCGTGCCTTTTGAACTTCTTGGAAAAAGTATGAGATGCAGGTCTAAGTGTCCAATAGAAGAAAAAAGTACTTTTACGTGTATTCAAAATGTTCCATTATGTTAAATATGTGTGTGGGGGTGCGAATCGTGGGTGTAGTCTGTAGAAAGTACAACCGAAGAGGAAGGAGACTGGCAACTCCAACATGGCGGCGGATGAAACTTTCTAAAAAATAATGTCCACTGTAACCTCTTAAAGCGACAAAGCTTAACTGGCTTAAAGTTAAGAAAAAGGAAAAATTCAGGTTATAAAAGTTAAAAGTCTTCACGTAATCGGGATACAGAACGCTTTTGAAATCAGGAACCCCATTTTTTTTAGTAAAAGTAAAGTTTACCAGTTTATTTAAATTGATAAAGCTAGCAGAAAGATTAGAAAGTATTAATTATAGTTAAAAGGGAAAATTACAAGATCTTTTTACATTAAATTTCTTGTCGTAGTCAACTACTACCTCCGATTAAGGTTTAAGTAAAAATTATCATTTCGCTTTAGATGAGAAATTTAAAAATGTAGTTAATACCAGCTTTCCTTAATGATAGAGAAATTTTGAATAAAAGTGTTTTATTCTCTAAATCCACACTGTTATTCGGCTCAGTGAGCTTAGATTTTTATTTTTATATGTTGGTAAATTATGCATTTTCTTGCTTTAAAAGCGATTGAATTATGTTGTTCATATCTTCCGGTTTAAGTTTTTATGTCTTTAGCTAATCTGCATGCAATAGTCTTAAAATTATCAATAATTTAACAGTTGTTTAAGTGAGGCTAAGCTTAATATTTTTAACATAGCAGTCATATTTGTTTACGTTAGAAACTTAGCAGAATAATAAATTAAGTCTTTTTGCACCTTCAGTTTTCTTTTTGCCGAGTGGGACCAAAAGGAAACTTTTAGTTTTGTGCATCAATCTGTCTTCTTGCCTGCTGGCTGAATTGCTTGTTTTTACGCAGAAACTCTAATTTTAATAGTAAAAATTGTTTTTTTTAAATTTTTTTAACTGTAGTTGATGTTTTATGTTTTTCTATAGCTTTCAATTTTTAATGAAGATATTTTGAGTTTTTATGTATTTTTGGCTTGCCGCGAAGTGATAACTGAATTAATTTAATGAGAAACATGTCTCTAATAAAATTCGAGGAAATAAGTTTAAATGAAATGCAGGAAAAAATACGTATAATTTAATATTTAAGTCATGTGGTTTGCACATCAGATTTTTTTAAATGACAAACTCTATGATAAAGCAAGCAGTGGAGAGACTTTTCGAAATAAAGCAGATTTTTATCTCCAGTGCATCAGACTCTTGTCAATCGAAAAAGGGTGCGAAAATTAGAGTTTTTAATTAATACTTCGGTTAATGTTGTACGAAAATGAGAATTATCGAAAAGGCTTCCCACGAATTTTAGGAATCCTGCAGTACCTCTGTCGAAGCTCAATTCCCCGCTATTGCGGAGGAGATAATGTCACAAAGAAACATCAAGCAAACAAACAGACAAACGCTCATTGATTTTAATAGTCCATACTCCCAGACATACTTTTGTTTAAGAAAAGCTTTGCAAAATAACTTACTCTTATATTTTTATTTGATTTCCAGAAGTGCAAAAATTTACGGCATCCTTTGAAAGAATATTTAAATTAAAAATATTATTTAGTACAAAACCAGCAACGTGTAAGAAAATTTAAAATTTTATTTAAGGAAAATTTTTTACTACAAAAGCAAGCTACATAAAAATATATATTCTTCAAATGAAATCCGTTTAATGTATATAAACTTTTGACGATGTTTTCAGAAATTAAAAGTCTCGGATCTTGGCTAATCTTAAATTGGGGGGTGCACATACAGGGCGTGATTCAAAAGTTTCAAGACTTACCACAAAACTAGAAATTTATTGGACATTTAAGTACAGCGGACTAAAATTCTTCAAAATATGATCCTTCAGCATCAATACGGCGCTGCCAGCTGTCAAGGGCTCTCGTCGAAGCCTGCTGGATGGCGTAGATGGAGTCGAATCGCTTCCTTTTTAGGCCTGCCTTTATTCGAGGGAAGAGAAAAAAGATCACTTGGAGCCAAGTCGGGGCTGTAGGGTGGCTGCGGCAGTGTTGTCACCTTGAACCTGATCGAAACTTCGGCGTTGTCATGGTGGAGAATCCAATCGTACTTGATTGCCGGGCGGACGCGGCGGACTTGATCCCTCAAGCGGCGAAGCACTCCAGCGTAAAAGTCACCTGAGACAGTCTGTCCACGAGCAACAAATCCTTGTGAATCACTCCTTTACCATTTAAAAAAAAAAAAAAAAGCATGCACTTTACACGCGACTTGCTCATGCGAGCTTTCTTGGGCTTCGGAGAAGAAGCACTGTGCCATTCTGAGCTTTGATGCTTCGACTACTCAGGATCGTACTCGTTGATCCAGTAGTAACCACTTTCTCCAGAAGGTTCGGATAAACATTCAACCGTTGGAGCATTTCCTGGCAAACAGTCATGCGTCGTTTTTCTGATCCGCCGACAAAACTTTTGGCACACACTTTTCGCATCATCAAATTCTCCGTCACAATCCTCCACACCGTACTCTGACTGAGTCCCAGTTCAACGGCAATTAATCTAGTACTAAGACGACGGTCATTGTTTAAAAGTTCCCGCACTCTCTCCACATTTTGATCCGTTCGGATTGATGATGTCCTCCCAGAGCGGTCGTCGTCTTCAATATTCCCACGGCCATCTTTGAAACGTTTGTGCCACATGAAAATCATTGCACGGGACATGAATTCTTCGTTAAAGGCCTCTTGAAGCATACCGAGAGTCTCCGTGGCGGTTTTGTTCAGTCGCACACAAAACTTAATCGCATAACGTTGCTCCAAGTGCTGCTCCATTTTCGCCTCTCCACTTTTCGACCGAGGTCGATGACACGGACTCCATGCTGCAAGCGATGCGCACTCTCCAGGGTTCCGGAGGCAACAGCCGCAGCGTCAGTTCGTTACCTGAGACCCTCACTACTTCCCCCACCCGGCGGAACCGGTCCGCGCGCGCTCCCCTACTCAGAAATGAACCAGTCTTGAAACTTCTGACTCACACCCTGTATGACTCACACCCTGTATGGTGATTGTTGGCAATGTTTGGGCATTACTGACGATAAGCGTTCTTATTCTCTATTGAACCAAGGCGCCTCATTCTATTGATTATTAACTTTATAGCTAAACATATAGTTAAATAAATTTTTCTATATAGGTCCTGAAACTTGAACTTTAAAAGATTAACAGGATCCTGATGATAAAATAAAATATGAGTAAAAAAATGTTTTTTTTTTTTTTTTTTTTTTTTTTTTTTTTTTTTTTTTTTATGAAATACGATTTATCACATGCAGTAAATTTGCTTTCTTTCCTGTAGCACTTTTAGCGTTTTTCGCTAAGAACTCTGTTGATGGAGTAATCGTCAGATTTATGGAACAGCGAATGAATGGACTGAATAGGGATGAAAAATATGGCTCTATCTCGTGTGGTTGCGAAGGGTTCAACAAGACTTTTGTACCCTTACCAAAGTATGTAAAATAATTATTGTCTGATTAAAAAACATTTGGTTTACAAGCAGTAGTTCTCTGTGATCTCGCATGAGATGAAATTGCTTATTTCTTTACTTGATTTATATAACATCTTGTATTTTTGTAGGGATTTTTATTCGCGTTATCTACAATAATATGATTTAAGATAAAATAATTTATGTAAAATAGTGGCTTTAGTACATCAAGTTCTGTTATTACGCGGCAAATAAGTTCCAAGAAAGCAGAATTTATATTAGAACAATTATAGTGTGTATATGTTACCGTGAAAGACCGAAATTAAAGAATGTCGACTTTCACTGGAGAATATCAACATTCATCAAATACGTCGGTGAAAGACCGAATATTTCACAACATTCTTGTATATTCGTACCCTCACCGGTGTATGTCGACAATCACAGATATGCTCTGGTGGAAGTCGAAAAGAGAGGTCATAAAGTGCCATAATAGTTTAAGTTGTTGCAATAAATAAGATTTGAATCACATAATTTAGTAAGTTTTTTATTACTGTTATTTTATTTTCTCATTTAGAACGTACTGTATAATTAAGTAAGTTTTTAACTTCTATTATTTTCCTTTCTCCTTTTGAATGTATTGTGCGTTTTAGATTCTCATGTTCTTAAGTTCTTATTTCAAGTTTCAAGTGCGTTTATTCGCGACTGAACTACGGAGAAGAAAATATAATATTGTTATATGTTCAACATTCACCATTAGTATATGGTGATACTCTTATTTCTGACTTCACCGGTCAATGCCGACATTCACCATTAGTATATGGTGAATGTCGGCATTGACCAGTGTAAGTCAGAAATAAGAGTATTTGGAAAATATTTCGGACATACACCAAGCGACTGTGTGAATGTTGACATTCACCGGTGAAAGTCGACATTCTCCAGATTTCGGTGTTTCACCGTAACATATACAAAATAAAAGAAAGTTTTGCTTTAAACGTGAAAAAATAATCCAAATTCTCTTAGAAGATCCTTCATGGAAGCATTATGTTCTTTGTAAAACTCAAAACAAACAACAAAATCTAATTTAAAAAAAAGTACAAATGATATGTAATTTTTTTCAAATAAATCGTTTTATTAAGTCTTTATTTGAACAGTCATTTAAGTAAATTATTATTAATTCAAATCACATAATATTAAAACATCTAAGCACATCCTAACTGTAAAATCAGAGCGAGAGAGATATTAGAACTTATGTACTGAAGGGAAATTAATGCTGCCTCATTACTGCGAATAAAGTAGATTTTTCTAGCATTTGAACTCAACAGTGACCGACTGGATAAGACAAACGAATTTCAATCCGGGTTTGAATCCCGACGAACAGACTAGCCGTAAAGGGTTTGTAGTCTTCGCCATGTGTAACGTTAAAATCTAGTTAATTTCTTCTGAAGTTTTCCATAATTATTAATTGACCTGATCTAAGCTTTTAGAATATTTTGAAATCATCATCTTTGTATTAACTAAATTCCTTGTATAAACTAAACTACTTTCCTATTTATTATTAATTTATTTGTTTTACTGAACATTCTAAACCTATTAGATTAAAATCATCTTGATAGAAAATGAAAGAAACTTTTGTTAATTTTTATGTAAAAATTTGAAAAAACTTTATAAGGAACTAAAGAAAGCTTTTAGTGCATTTTAGCTTTTAGTGGTGAAGTGGTTAATACATCCAACAAGAAACTGGAAGATCCGTGGTTCGATTACCGACGTGACCATATTTGATTTGTCCTAATTTCCCTCAATATCCGAACTAAAAATGTGATGAACAATAATTCATCATTGCCTGAAACTGCCAGACTGGTCTTTTGGTCCATGTAGGGCAAAGTATAAGGAATTATAGAATTCCTCTCGCAACTTCCTCGTGATATTCTGATTACAACATCCAATAGAAACTAGTCTGTAATTCGGGAAACTGTTTTATAATGGCTACGTTATACAATCATCAACTGTTCGAAAACGCAGAAACCTTTATAAGTGTGGCTCAACGTAAAGGTAACTGCAGTGATTCGCTTATTAATATTAGTTTCTAATTTGTAAAAAAAAAAACTTCAAACTACTAAAAAACTATGGCACTGCTATGCAAATAGAGTTTTATTATTAGTTAGTATTCTGATTAACAAAACAAATGAAAGCTCTGCTTTTGTAGCAGTACTCAGGCATAGCTGTGCCTATACCTTTAGGACTTAAGGAGCTGTGCCTTACCTTAAGTCGTTTTTTACAAGCCGATAATAGTCGACTTGTGCAAAAGTGCCAGTACCTTAATGATGGGGTATCTTTATAAAAACGCCCTTGTAGTTCGATTCACGTAGAGGGCAAAGTTGATTTCATGTTAATTGCCTCGAAAAGACAAGCAGTACATGCAACTATCTTGTTATCTATACAGTTATTTTGACGTAGTTTAGATTTTCACGTATATGACGTGAATATAGTCTATTTATAAAATTACGGCTAATTCAAAAACTTTAACTTCAATTTTTATTATAAACATAAAATCTTAAAATGTTTCTTAAATTCGAATATTAAATTCAGTCGAAGGGTGTTAAAAGATAGCGGCTATGAGCCGCGTCTCAAAATAAACCGGCTAAAAACGGAATTCAAAATTCTTTTTTCCAGTACCATTTTAAATCAGAGTCATGTTAAAGCAGCATTTCGTGTATTTAAAATACCTATACTTTTATTCCTACGATTTAAATACAAAGAAATGATTTAATTGAACCTTTCTTTGTTAGTTCTCATGCTGAGGAGATTTTTAATGGAATCCTGAGTCATTCATTTTGTGGACAAAATTACCCAAGAAATGTTTGCGATATGCTTAAAATATGTAAAAATTGTACAGTCCAGTTTGAAAAATGTTCACCTGGAAGTCAAAGAAGCAAAAATATTTGCATAAAAAGTAAGCCCTTTTTTGTTGTTATAGTTGTTGTATCAATTATCTAAGCAATTTTATAAAGATAAACGAATCATAAATTTAGTTTATTATTTTTAAGCAATATTTTGAATAAATAAACATTATAAGGGTCATCAATAAATATTATGAACACCGTCAAGTAAAACGTCACTAACCATCCCATTATTATGCACATAATGAGTACTTTTGGTATACAACAACGACATGTTTATAAAATGGTACACTGACTACCAATAAGTATTTGGACACCTATGCAAATGACGATATCTGAGGTTCCAAGGTACGCCACGGACTCCGCCGGTATATATCGTGTAGGAAACAGCATCGGCTTTAGTCGCATGCAAGATGCCTCGCAGTTCGGAGCTCTCTGATTTCGAGAAAGGTATAATTATCGGGTATCACAAATGTGGCCGATCCTTAAGGAACATATCTAGCGATCTGAAGTACCCAATATCGACAGTGGCCTATGTGATTAAGAAATGGAAGGTGAGCGGTGATTGTTGGAATGTGTCCCGAGTCGGCAGACCAACGAAACTGGGGGATAGAGACTGACGAGTGCTGTTCAGAAAATTCGGAAGAACCGCACCCAACCGATAGCCCTCATCCGCGAGGAGTTTCAACAGGCATCCGAGAGTATTGTTTCAATGAATACCATCCGTAAAGAAGCACATCTGCTTGGTTTTCATGGTCGTGCTGCTGCCCATCAGCCTTTAATCACAAAGTCCAACCGTGCTTCTCGGTTAATGTGGTGCAAAGCACATCGAAATTGAAACATCGAATCAGTGGAAACGGATTCTTTAGAGTGACGAATAAAGGTTCACCCTTTACCGTTCGGATGACAGGGTCTGGGTCTGGCGTCTACCTGGAGAACGTCTCCTGTCAGAATGCATTGTGCCAACAGTCAAGTTCGGCGAAGGTGAAATTATGGTCTTGGGGTGTTTCTCCTGGTATGGCCTGGGACTCTTGGTCCCCATTCTTGGTAAGCTCAACTCCAATGCCTACTGCACTATTTTGGATGACAATGTGCTTCCTACGTTGTGGCAGTTTTACGGGTTGGACCCCTGTTACTTTCAGGACGACAATGCCAGTTGTCATGTTTCGACGTTAACCAAGGCTTGGTATGGTGCCAATGGAGTTCATCGAATGGACTGGCCTGCCCAGAGTCCAGACCCGAACCCTATCGAGAACCTCCGGGACGTGTTGCATCGCCGAATTCAGGGGTGCACTACCCGTGCAAAATCGGTGAAGGAACTGCTATGTCTTCTCCAAGCCGAGTGGAAGAAAATACTACTAGCTGTCATACAAAGACTTGTGGAAAGTATGCCCCGGAGGGTCCCCGCTGTAATTACCTCTCGTGGAGGCTCTACGAACTATTGATTTTGAATAAAGTTAGTT